AAGAAATGTCAACTCCTTCACATGTGGAATGTCAGAGCTCCTGGACACATTTATGTGATATGGGAGAAGATAAGAATTACCTTGGGAAGAACTAGTTCCTATGGATGGAGCAGTAATGGCGTGTTTGTCACCCTTCATTAGCAGATTGGTAAAGGTATATCCAGATAGAACTCTGATAAGTGAGATAAAATAGTTTAAGATAAGATAAACAAATAAAACATTTACTAAAATTTTTTAAATCTGTCAGAAAATTATGAAAAGGCTTTTTTGTGATGGTTTTAGATTTGGTAGATGAAAGTGCATAATTTTGTTGTAATGGGAATTCAGATATAACATGTAAAGAAATAGGTAGCACACTTTTATTTCAAGGCCCTTCAGCCAGTTCAGAACTCCTCTCTTTACTCCATGGGAGTCTTGGGCTTATTTTCACTGTTCCTACAGTCTAGTTTTTGTTTTGTGGGTTTTTGTTTTGTTTTGTTTTGTCATTTTTGGGTTAACCCATTCTGGGATTATTCATTGTTCTCTATTTTAACCAAAGAAAGATAAGCAAGGATTTCTAGAAGAAACTTTGTGTTTATTGGAGTGTTTCCAGAGTGCTTCTTTTACTATTTTTAAGATCTGCTACATTAAAAAAGAAATGGAGCAGTGGGCAAAAATCTTAAAAAACAGTGTGCTTGCAAGTTCGAGATTATTCAGTTTCTACCTTCTGTGTATAAATCATCTTAATTTCTTTCAAAGTAATCAGAATTACTTCTCACCTCCCTCTTTTCCTCTCTCCCTCTTTCCTTTTCCTTACTAATTTTATTTTATTTAAATTTCCTTCTTATGGAAAAATCTAGATTATATAGAAAATTATTTTTAAACCTTAATAATATTAACAATAAAACTCCAGTACCAAGAAAGAACCATTATTATTGGCTTTTTTCCTTCAACCTGTGGATTAAGCTAAGATTCTTTGAGTTCTTCTTTCTGTTAGTATGCATCTCCCTTTCTGCTTACCTAAGAGAGCATGCCACAATTTCGGATATAGCCTTCCAGTCAGAATTCACTGGTTATGCCCCTCTCATCACCCTCTAACACTCTAAACCTTTGCCAAAGCCAGGCCTTGGACTGAGAGGACCCATTGCCTTATCCAGTCTCTTTCTGCCTCCAGCTTGACCAGCATGGCTGTTTTCAACTGTTTGGGTCTAGCTGCAGAATAAAATATTAATTAGGTAGATTCCAAAGCTCTTACTATGTTTTTAGTCCCTGCTTGCTTTAGGAAAAGTAACAAAACCAAGACTTGGAAACCCTCCAGCTCCCTAATTCCTTTTTTCTAATTAATTAATTAATTCATTTAGTTGTAGATGGACACAATATATTTATTTTTATTTGATGCTGGGGATTGAACCCAGCGCCTCACACATGCACCAGGTGCTCTACCACTGAGCCACAGCCCCAGCCTTCCCTATTTCTTTTTATTTTTAAACTTTAACTTTGAATTAGACCTAACCAAATCTCCAGGTTATTTTGACAGAAAAAGGGTTCCCTTTTTCCTGAGCTGTTAAAAAGGATTTCAGTTTTGTTTCAGAGTAGATAGGCCAAGAATGTGGGTAAGCCAGTGGTCAGCAAAATTCCTGACAAGGGCCAGATTATAGACGTTTTAGGCTTTAGGGCCCTGTGATCTCTGTGACAGCTGCACAGATCTGCTGTTACAATGCAAAAACAGCCATAGACAATGTTGAAATGAGCAAACTTGACCATATTTGAGTAAAACTTTATTTAAAAAACAGGTAGTGGGCCCTAGTTTGCCAGCTCTTTAAGCCATGACTCTCTGAAGCATTGTATGATGACACACAGATCACTTGAGAAAAAAAGTATTTACATCACATATGATAAGCCATTGTATATGTACTAAGGGCTGCCACACACAACTATAAAAATATTCAGATGATATTCAAATCTATTGGCCACAACAGAAAAGAATGACAGATTTGACTGCATAAAAATTAAAGTCACAAAGTATACAGTAAGTAAAGATAAAAGACAAATAACAAACTAGAGAAAATAATTGTCATCTATATTAACTACCAACTTATGTGGTTTTTGCATACCAATAAGATGAATTATCCAAAAGAAAAAGGGACACAAGATATGTACTAGTCAGAAAACAGGAAAAGATGCTCACTCTTATAAGTAGTGAAATCTGTGTCTTAAAGAGACTTGTTTTTTTGCTGTCAAATGTAGACATTTGAATAAATAATATGCATAATATTCAGTGTGTTGAGGGATGTAGCGAAATAAACAACTGGATATGGTTATGATGATTTGTATTATCTATTATTATACATAGAGTACCTATGATTTATCAGCTTAACAAAACAAGTATTTGTTTTCTTAGTTTCTGTAGATCAGGAAACAGGAGTAGCCGAACTGGGTGGTTCAGGCACAGGATTCTCAAGAGGTTTCAGGCAAGCTGTCAACCACGGCTACAGTCATTGGGAATGGATGATCCACTTTCAAGGAGGCTCACATGGATATTCTAGCCCCCAGTTTCTTAGTGCCCATTAGGCAGAGACTGTAGTTCTTCAGGGGGCTTACCATCCAGCATTTATTTATTTTTTTAGTTGTAAATGGACACAATATATTTATTTATTTATTTTTATGTGGTGCTGTGGATACCTGGCAGCTTGTTTTCCTTGAGTGAATAAAGAGATCAGCCAAGACATATCATACACAGTGCTTTCTAGAATCGTTGAGGTAACATACCATTTTAAACATGCTGTTGGTCACAGAGTAATCATGGTACAGTATGAGAAGGCCCTAAAAAGGATGAGTAGTAGGAGGCAAGAGTCCTCAGGGACTTGGAGGTTGGCTGCCACAGGAAATCTGGGACTTTGTTTCTCTGTCAGCTGGTTATAGAGTTTTCCATATGATTTCTGCTGAGTCTAGAGTGGAAAGATATCTTTTTTCCCTCTAGCATGTGGGTGGAGCGGCAGGAGTACCTGGGGATTGACTGGGCATTTTTCACCTCTTTGTGGTCTCTCCACAACTAGTGTGGATTTTTTTACATCAGAGTCTCAGGCTGGTCATACTTCTTGAAGGGTAACGATGCCAGATTCCAGAAGACCCAAGCAGAGGCTACACAAATTTCTATGATCTAGCCTTGAATTTTTTCCATATTCTTCATCAACAATATATTTATAGTACTAGCCCAGATTTAAGAGCATGATTACAAGGTGATGTGACCTATTATAAAGACCCATCTTTGGAACTCTCCCAGGAAGTTATGATTGTAAGAAATGATGCTGGCTTATTCTAAAGTGGTAGCAGTGCAGATAATTAAAAAATTGGTCTGACACTGGAAAAATTTTGAAATAAAATTGATAGAATTTACCTGGGAATTGAATATGTAGTATATGGGGGAAATATAAGTTGAATGAATCTAAGATTTTTGAGCTGAGCAATTTGAAGAATGCAGGTCTCCTTACTGATATGAGAAAAACTGTAGGACAGGAAATTTGAAAAGGCAAATCCGGATTGACTAAAATCCTAAGTATCTGTGTAAGAAAATACATATGAAGATGTAGCCATTAGGAAGGAGGTTGAGCTGGGCACAGAGATGCATACCTGTGGTTTCACCTACTTGGGAAGCTGAGACAGGATGGCTTGATCCAAGAACTTTACAACAAACAAGTCTACAGTAAATCTCTGTGTACTGAAATAGGAATGCTATTCGTGGTTATTACTTGGAAGGTGTGATAAGTGAAGCGTAATTCCTCTTATGAAGAAATATATATATTAAAAATTAATGTTTTAATATATTTATCAATATTTACATAAAACCCATAAGTTCTAACCTGTCATTGAAGGGCTCTATTAAGAATTTGGATTAAACCACAGGCCAAGGGAATTTTTTGAAGGCCTTCCATCAGAGGAGTGATATCATAATTATGCTTTGGGAAGATGAATTTTTAACAGTGTGAGAAGTGAAAGAAGAGTTGGGAGCCAGGGATTGTACTCTGTGGTAGCATACCAAGCTCTATTCACAGTCTGTGAACTAAATCCATGGAGGTCAGAGACTGTGGCTTTCCTTGTTTTATTCTAGCTTCAAACCTTGAGCAGTGGTGAATGAGTGAATAAGTGCATCATCATCACATTTCAAGCTATTGAGAAAGGTCTTGTCTAAATTAACAGACTATCTCAATTGTAGATTTTTATCAAAATTCTATTACATTACGTGGTAACAGAATAAAGTATTAATAGGTGGTAAATCTACTGATTTAATTAGTAGACTAGATGTCTACTGTATTTCCTTTGCTGCTGTATTTGACTTAAAAAAAGAGAGAGAGAGAAAGAGTTTATGACAGGATTATTTCATCTTTTACCTGAATATATTGTGTAAGGGATCCTAAGCCTTTTAAATGGCAATGATAATTTCTAATCATCTAGAGTATATGAATCAAAAAGATAACAAGTATCAAGCAGGAATTTCAAGAGAGGTTTTTCAGAGGAAGTACTGTTCTATAAGGAATTAGATTTCATGCTTTGTTTTTTAGAAATGCCATCAAATAGTGGGATTGGGGGATGACACTTTAAAATAACTAGAGATGGACTTTTTATTGTTTAGTGCAAAAATGCAATATTGAAATTTTTTTAAAAATATGTTTTAGTTGTAGATGGACACAATAACTTTATTTATCTTTATGTATTGCTGTGGATTGAACTCAGTGCCTTGCTCATGCTAGGTGAGTGCTCTACCGCTGAACCACAATCCTAGCCCCAATATTGGAATTTTTAAGGAAGAGCTTTTTTCTTCTTCAGATTTTTGTTTTGGTCAAGTTTTTAAACAAAAATCAATTTTTTAAATTACATATATTAATTGCATCGGCCTACAAGTTTCCATGGAGGAACAAACTTTATTACACATGAAGTTCATTGTTTTTGCTTTCATGACGTATTGGTCATATTGGTTATAATAAGTTGCAAGATATTTGCTGAAAATGTCTTGTTTATTTCAGGGGCTACATTGAGTATGAGACCAGCCCCCATTCCAATAGAGGACCCGGAATGGAGACAAACTCCTCCCCCAGTCTCTGCCACATCTGGGACCTTCCGACTCCGACGAGGGAGTCGATTTACCTGGAGGAAGGAGTGCCTAGCTGTCATGGAAAGGTATGTGTCTCCTTTTCCAATGAGAAGTTTCCAGAAATCAGGAAAGAAGTAAACTTTTGCATGGATTAGGACCGTTTTCATTTCCAGTAAGTAATTTGGGAGCTCAGTTCTAATTCAGAGAGTATTTTGGAGTATTATAAATGCTGGGTTATTAAAATAAGATGTTTGGGTTTTGGGGTTTTTTTTAGTTGTCAATGAACCTTTATTTTACTTATTTGTTTATATGTGGTGCTGAGAATCAAACCCAGTGCCTCATACCTGCCAGTCAAACACTCTACCACTGAGCCCCAACCTCAGCCCTAAACTAAGATGATTTTTAGCATTGACAATTCATAAAGCTAGAGTTAGCATCTATCAGTTTATTTTATATATAATTTAATAGTGCCCTCAGTAATTTAAGATACTTTAGAAGAAATAGTTGAGTTTAGATATTTGTATGATATTTTTGGAAAAACTATTCAAGTCATTTTTATCAAAAATGTTGAATATAGGAGTCAATTAAGATTTAACTTTCTTCAATGAGGAGGAAGATCTAAGTGAGCTTAGTTCCACAGGTTAGAAAATACTTGTTTAATAATTTATCCTTTTACTTTAGCACCCAGCACCTAAGTTCTTTTTTGACCTTCATTTTCCTGCCTGAAATGTTTGTTATATTTAGCATAGATCTTATGGCATAATTATCCTTTTAGTCACCTGCTTATAAGTGATTTCTATAGAATTTTATTTCTATGGAGAAGTTTATACATAGTAGGGTCATAATTTCCCAGCTGTACATTTTACCCATATATAATCTGACCAGTAGAGTGGTATACTAGACAGAGCACTTGACTCAAGAGTTAGAAGACCTGAAACCTGATTAACTTTGGGTCACAAATTCTGAACTGTGACTTGCTCATCCTCAAAATGAAATTTTTTAGTAACCAATAAATTATGTAAGACTTTTGCCATCTTTCTTCTTGCTTACTTTATGAGTATTTCCCAGACTATAAAACTTAAAATGCTGAAATTCAGACCATATTTTTGTTTCTGTGATATAGATGAAATAAATAGATTTGCTAAGAAGAGGGCTGGATCAGTATCCAAAATGAAACTATAGATTATTCATTGGTGTTAATATTTCTTTCTTTGCTCTATTGTAGATAAGAGTATAAGCAATTGATTAAATAATGAATCCTTATACCCTTGAGTGGTTAAAGTGAAAGATGGAGGCTTAATTTTTCTGGAGACCTGACATTTTACATTCTATGCCATTTTCTCATCTGGAAATTTTGATTTTTTTTTTTTTCAAAATTTCTTTGGAACTTACCATAGCAGATGGGAATTAAAATTATATCTAACTTAAATTATTTGTAATATTGTGTATTTTTCTCTGGGTAACACAATAAGATGTGATATCAATCTCTAACTGGTGTAAGTTCTACTTTCATGAAGATACTACCATATGCTTTTATCACATGATGTCAGTATGAGAAATAAGTTTAAAAGTTGATAGCTTTAAAAATGATAGAGAATTGAACCTCAAAGAATTTTGAGTTCCTTAATTTTTTTTCCCCAAAGCACAACTTGTTAGATTTACACTGATTAAATTTCAATTAAAAATATACTGAACACTTATTCTGTGCAAGCCTTTCATTTAATTTTAATTTACACTTTTTAACTTGAGTTTTAATTAATAACTTTTTAATCCAAGAGTTGGTCATCTTTGGTTTGATTTTATCTGATTGGCACAACTAGAGAAAGAAGATATTGTTCATTCTAATAGTTGCACAAATGCAGAAAGCCTTTCAAGTCACTTTGTATCAATAGTACAGAAGGCTCACAATATGATTTTCATTTTTTAAAAATAGAACTTTTCCTAAAATGGAATATAAATTTCCCTAGTCTTATAGTGACACATATTTTTTGCCTAGACTACATGAGTAGATATGCACAAACTATAAAACCAGCAAATAAGCCTCACTCAAATATGTTAGTATAAGAGTAAAGCAAAAAATGATTCTAACCCTCACGCCATACACCAAGATAAATTTCAAATGAATTTGAGAAAAAGTTAAAAATATATATAAAAAGAATTAAACATGGGTGATTCCTCCATATCCTGGGAATGGGAAAATTGTTTTCTATCACTTAGAATCCAAAAGCAATAATGGAAATGTTTAATATATATATATAAGAAGATATATATATATATATATATATATATATATATATATATATATATATATATATACTAAAAGAAAAACTTTGGGGGCAAAAATTGAGCAACACTTAAAAGACAAGTTGGAAAACGCTTTTGCAGCTTTTATCATCTTAGTATGAAAAGAAGAATTAGTTATTAATTATAACTAATTATAAGAATTAGTTATTAATCTTTGAGATTAATAACTATGGAAAAATGGACTAAAGTTATCAGGAGAAAAATGACAAATATATGCAAATGGCTAAAACCTAGGAACCAGATACTTATAATAAGAGAAATTCATCGAGATGCCATTCCTCACCTGTCACATTGGCAAAAATCCAAAAGTTTGGCGGTCTTTTCTGTTGATTGGCCTGTAGAAAAATGGCATTCTCTTACATTGCATGTAGAAATACAAAATGGAACAACCTTCCATGGGGGAGAATTTGGCATTATCAAGGAAATTTACCTATGGATTTGCACTTTCGCTCTATTGGTAGAAAATCATCTCAAATACATTGACAAAAATATGAAAAGGCAACAACACTGTAATAATATGAAAATACTGAAGATAACCTATATGTCTCTTGGTAGTGGGATGGACAAATAAATGACAGTACATCCATATGTTGCATGTCAAGGCTCATAGTAAAATGCTAGGCAGAGACAAAGACAAAGGAATGAAGACAGTATTTATACAGGGATCTCTAGGTTGTAGTTTTATTTTTATTAAAAAGGCAGGTTTAGGCCTGGGTTTGTGGCTGAGTGGTAGAGTGCTTGCCTAGCATACATGAGGCTCTGGGTTCAATCCTCAGCACCACATAAAAATAAAATAAAGATATTGTGTCGTACTAATAGGGCATTATGTAAAAACGTAGATGTGTAACCGACGTGATTCTGCAATCTGTATTTGGGGTAAAATTGGGAGTTCAAAACCCACCTGAATCAAATGTATGAAATATGATATGTCAAGAGCTTTGTAATGTTTTGAACAACCAATAAAAAAAAAAAAAGATATTGTGTCTACCTAAAAAACTAAAAAATAAATTTTTTTTTAAAAAAAAAGCAGATTTAGCTGCATAGCATAGGCTTTCATTTATGTACTTGCTTATACCTGTTTTTAATGGAGGAATATACCATAAAGCAAAATTATTACCAAAAGAAAAGAAAAAAACAGATGAGAGAAGATAGAAGTAGAAGCTAGAAATCACTGAAAATATCTTGTTTTGACCTTGTAACTGTGTAAGTATTTTACATAATTAAAAATCAAAATTAAATTGAAATGGGGGAGGAAATCCTTAAGAAAATAACTAAAATGAAAGAAAGATGGTTAACTAAACAATCAGGTATTATTTTAAATCCCTTTACAACATAGTAATTTTATTACACTTCCTAAGTGGGTTATAGCTTGAGAGTAAAAGCAACTCCAAAAAACTCTTATAGGGACTAATTTTGGTAAAGTTAAGTATTGTTATCCAAATACTATTTTTATAATTAGATAGGTATAGTTACAGATGTAGATGTAAATAAAACAATCAAATTAATATTATTAGGAACCAAAATTTTCAGTGTAAGAGTAACAACATAGAAATACAAAATAAAAAGAATTAAATTTTTTAAAAAATTAATACTTTATGTGTATATGTGTGTATAGAAAGAAGTTTATTGCAAATGTACTTTAAAAAAAAAAAAAAAAAGCCTTACTGAGATAAAATTTACTCTTTTTTTTCCCCCCTTGGAGTGCTGGGATTAGACTAAGGGCCTCACACACATGCTAGGCATGTGCTGTATCACTGATCTATATCCTCAGCCCTACAGTTAAGCTATTTAACACATTAATTTCAGTGGTTTTTAGTATACTTACAGAGTTATGCAACCATTTCTTACAGAATATTTTTATCAATCCCAAATAAACTTTGGATCCAGGATAAACTTTCCTTTTCTCCCACACCCTCCCACCCTTGCATAACATTAATCTTTCTATGTAGATTTACCTATTCTGGACATTGCAGTTTTTATGAATGAATCATATTCTGTGGTTTTTTGATGACTCATTTCTTTCAGTTAGAAATATTGGTACCAGGTGGGCTGGTGTTGTGGCTCAGTGGTAGCGTGCTCGCCTAGCATACATGAGACACTGGGTTCGATCTTCAGCACCACATAAAAATAAAGACAATAAAGTCCATCAACAACTAAAAAAATATAAAAAAAGAAAGAAAGAAAAGAAACATTTGTACTAGGAATTGAACCCAGTCTGCTTTACCACTGAGTTATGTCCCTAGTTTTCTTATTTTTTTAGTTTTGAGATAGAGTCCATAAATTGCTGAGGTTGGGCTTGAACTTGGTGATCCTCCTGTCTTAGCCTCTCAATTGCTGGGATTACAGGCATATGTCATCATACCCAGCAACATAGTATTTTCAAGATCTGTTCATGTTATACCATATGTTTTCTATTGCATTTCCTTTTATTGCTAAATAATATTCAATATGGGTAATATTTTATTTGCCCATTCATCAATTGATGAGCACTTGGGTTTTTGTGTTTTTTTTCTACTTTTTGTCTATTAGGAATATTGTTGCTGCTTAGAATTTGTGTACTATTAGAATTGCTGAGTCATATACTCTGCATTTAGCTTTCTGAGGACTGCCAAATTTTTTAAAGAGTTTATATTTATACCATTTTACATTCTACCCAGCTCTGAATGAGGGTTACCACTTCTCACTAACAACTGTTATTATCTGTCTTTTGTGGTATAGCTTTCTTTCAGTGGGGTTGAAGTATGGTATATTATTGCAATTTTAATTGTGTTTCCTTGATAAA